GATGTAGAAGAGACATGAAGAAGAGGGGACACATGTTGATGTAGAAGAGACATGAAGAAGAGGGGACACATGTTGATGTAGAAGAGACATGAAGAAGAGGGGACACATGTTGATGTAGAAGAGACATGAAGAAGAGGGGACACATGTTGATGTAGAAAAGACATGGAGAAGAGGGGACACATGTTGATGTAGAAGAGACATGAAGAAGAGGGGACACATGTTGATGTAGAAGAGACATGAAGAAGAGGGGACACATGTTGATGTAGAAGAGACATGGAGAAGAGGGGACACATGTTGATGTAGAAGAGACATGAAGAAGAGGGGACACATGTTGATGTAGAAGAGACATGAAGAAGAGGGGACACATGTTGATGTAGAAAAGACATGATAGGTGACCTTTAAATCTGGTCTAAAGGATTTCTCTACTGTGTTTATGATTTAACGAACAACGTAACATTGTTGAAAGTGACTTCCTTTGTTTCCCCAAAGTAATATATGAGTGTGTTAGCTCAGGGTGCAATGCAGCCTCTGGTGGCCAAAATGAGTATTACAACAACATTGACAGAAAATGCAATATTTGTTTATACGACAAAACATTTTTTGCCCAACTTTTCAGAATCAGAATCAGGTTTATTGTCCTGTAGCTTCACTTATAAAGACATTATTTGGTTTGAATGCATTTAAACAAACACGGTAAAAGGAATGAAGTTGTAAAAATGTAAGTGCAATACAATTATGATAAGTTACTCCAAAGAAGATGCTGGCACGTCAGCATTTAAATTGAAAGGGCTGTGAAGCTTTATAAGAGGTGGCATTGTGCAGAGAATGTGCAAAAATGTGAAATAACTCATAAACACAGGAAAGAAAACAATTGATATAAAAAATGCATCACCTGCTTTTTTCTCATTTCCCTCTCAGCACTTTCTTAACAATCTGCTGGAATAAGAAAAATACGACACGTCCCCCCCTCATCTTTTAAAATGAACGTCTAATTTAGACACTTGTCGATTTTTCTTATAGAAAGTTATGAAACATAGTGAGAACAAAGCCTTCATCTTCCTCCTCCTCCTCCTTCATCATCATCATCATCATCATGGCTCCAGTGATGCTCCACATGTCTGACGCAGAGCTTCAGCTTCATGTCATCTGTTGCAGGAGCTGCTTTGAATTATGATTTATCATCTTTTATTCAAAGCTTGTCCGTCAGATGAGTTGCTAGCTGGCTTTGTCGATGCCAGGATGTTACGTGTACAACTTCCTTCAGTGACACATGAGAGATTGCTCAATTGTTAATGTGCTCCGTTTGGGTCCAGTTAGCATCAGCAAAGCACCGCTTCGACACACAGCCTCTTCAATAATTAACAGCAGGAGCACAAATCAAACCGTACGAGCTTTCGATCGACATCAAAAGGTAACACAAAGGCTTTGACTCGCATGCAGTAAATCTGCTTCTGCCAACAGGGGAGAGGCTCTCATGACGCAGCACCCTTGAGGTTGGGTAAGAGAACCAAGGTGAAAAAAAAAAATGATTTTATTTTTGGCTTTTGATCTCAACTCTCCACTTCAGAGGCTGTCAGGGACGGGGACCCTGCACAGACTCTTCTGACTTCTCCTGTGTGCTGTGCCTCACTCTGAATGCTGTGCAGGACACTTCTGCTCATAGGGGTTAACTAGTAACTCTGGGGTTTGGTAGTTGGGTTGCCAGGTTGAAGCTAACACGTGTAGGTTATCTTTCTTAATCTGCTTTTTTATGTTATTTGGGTATAAGTGTGTGCGGGATGTTTGCTGTTGGCTTCATTGTGTTTCTTTGTGTCTGCTTGGCTGCTTGCGTCTGATCAGAGAATGGCTCTCCTCTCATCTGCTGTGCGTTCACAGTGAGCTGCTCACATCTTTGGACAGTGACACGGTGACCCTTATGCTCCTTAGTTTACGTTTTAGGATGAAACAGATACGACGAATGACGAGCTGCAGCAGCGTGATACACAGATGTTTGTTTTCATCTGTTGGTAAATTGTAATGATTATTATTGCCAGAGCTTTGATGGTACTCCTCTCAACAAGCTGGTTCCTCTGGCCAGACTACTCACAGAAATGTAAAATATTTATCAGATAAAATGAAAATGTGTTAAAATGTCCATAACTCAACGTTCTTCAAAATTATTTATTTTCAAATTAACTGAATTATTAACTTACTTTATTTACTAAACGAACAATGATATACAGTAGGTCTGTATCATACGACAGGTAAACCAGATTGCATTTAATAACTGTAACTGCATTTAAGTTGTTAATGCTTTGAGTTCAATGTTAAACACAAGACAAACACACACTCCTAAGCTCCTTCGAGGTACCGAATAAAAAAAGCAAATGTAAGCACTTTTAATCTGATTTGAACATTTAGGGGATCAGAATCATAATCTCTGGGTGAGTCTATGCTCCTCTTCAGCTGGTGAATTGTTTGTCTCATCTGCAAAAAACACATTTCCATTCTGAATCAATTCATTTACAATTTAAATAGTTTAAAATGTACGTTTGAATTCCAACTTTTCACCGAGTATCAAGAAATCAGTCCAATGTATTTTTGGTAATCCTACTTACAAACTGACAAACCTAACCTCCTCAAGGTGCTGAATATTAAATGAACGTTCATCAGGAGTTCAATTACTCCAAATGACTACTAGTGGCTGAACAATGTCCCCCAAAGATCTAATAATGAGGCTTTACCACATAAGGACCCACTGTGACACGGGTGTCACGTGAACTTTAAATGTTCTGGAAGGTTCCTTATTCAGCTTTAGCCTTGTTTTTATCTCATGAAGTCCCTGAGTGACACACACTGAACAGTCTGGTGGGTCATGGGCCAGGTCATGTGATTTAGTGTTCCCATAACAACATGTCCAAGAACACATGTGACATAATGAGCTACATTTCAAAAGCTTTTTGTTGTTGTTGCTAAAACGTAAAATTCAAGCCATTTAAGAATTACCGTAATTTTCGGAATATAAGCCGCGCCTTTTTCCCTATTTTTCGACGCTGCGGTTTATATAACGGTGCGGCTAATATATGGATTTTTACAGCTAACGGCCAACACCTTTAACTCTATGGGCTCTATGGCCGGTCCGCGGACCCCCACCTTTAAGCGGAGGGTTCCAGCAGGAAAAGCTGGAGGCCAGAAAAGAGTGAGACGGGTAGCGCGCAAAAGTAAAAGTGGAACCGAGAGTGGTATGCCGCTGCTGCGGCTTATATTCAGGTGCGCCTTATAGTCCGAAAATTACGGTAGAATGCTTACACAACATGTCCTTTATTACATTGAACCTGTTGTGGAAACATTTCTTGATCAAATTGATATGAAACAAATGAGACAAACATCGCTGTGACACTGATCGGGACTTTAACCCTAAACTTTCACAGTAAACCCAAAGTGACATATGCACAATTAGAAATATGATTATGACCCGCTNACTACAGATTGCATCGTCTGACACAACATATGAGCTGCCATGCAGAAAGACAGTGACAAAAAGAATCCAGCAGCTTTATGACAATGAAAAGGAAGATAAAGAGAATTTATTGGAGAAAGCCGAATGTGTTCCCCTGACTGGGAATCATTGGACCTCGGTAAGCAATTCAAATTACCTCTGTGTGACGGCACACTTTATTGACATCTTCTCACTGTTCTCAGGTCAAATATTTATATGTGATTAAAAATGCGATTAATTTCGATTAATTAATTACAAAACCTCTAATTAATTAGATTAATTTTTTTAATCGAGTCCCGGCCCTAATCTGAATCAAACATTTCTTTAGGGGGAATTGTTTGATTTTTAGTTGGGGGGGTGTTACAACCCTGGGTCGTAAGGTCATTTGTGTGTGCATTTTTCCCTCCTCCTGTGTCTGTGAGTGTGTCTGTGTGTGTGTGAGTAAGCAGGTGGTGCCCGTTAGCTGATTAGCTACCTTCAACCTGCTGATTGGTCCACCTGAAGAAGAGGGGAGCATTTAAGCTGCAGCCATGCAGTTCCTCGGTCGCTCTCTTCGACTAGACTTCTCCTACTCCCAACACAATTTTGCGATGTCTGTCCTTTTATGCTGAGTGCTTAGTTATACTGTATGCCGGTCATTCTCTTGTGTTGTGAGACTGTGTTAGAAAAGCGACTAAACCTGTCTGTGTAGACACACTTTATGTTTTTCTTAGGAGTGCAAAACCCTTTTCTTTTGGAATATTCGTTTTCTCCTGTTTTTGCATTAGAGTAGGTAAGATTTTTGTAAATTCAATTTTCTCATTTGTTAGGTAAGATTTTTGTGGTAAAAGGTTTTCTTTGTTTTGTGGTTTTGCTACTCCTGTGTGTAATTTAATTTTCGGTAATTCAATTTGCCAAACGCTTTCTCTGTTTTGGCGTCCATGTTCTTGGGAGTGGGAAAAGTGGGGAGAGTGCATTTTATACTGCGCCTAGGTTCCCCTAGGTCTGGGCGTAACACTAGCAGGGACTAAAAAAGGGGGTGGAAAGGTTCTGATGAACTAAGTTCTAGTTCCGGATTTTTTTGGTGTGAACGCAACATTTCAAGAACTATTAGAACTATACTGGGAAAAGTACTCCGGTGTGAAAGCGCTTATTGTCCCCAAAGTTACATTAGGATTTCTGAAAATCTTATAATACTGAATACTTGGTGGACAGATCTCCTTTATGCCAAGGGAGCCAGATTTTGTTATGGCGATTTCAGCCAGTATGAACTCTTATTATATTTATTTTAAATGCTCGAATTGATGGTGAGAAAATAAAGTAAGTGGCAGAAATAAGAATTGCTCAGTATTTGTATAAACTAATAGAACATGTATTCGGAACAGTAAAGGGGTTTCATTATGACTTCAATAACTGTTTTAAATATTTGTTTCTATAACTCGAGAAATTATTGGCATGGAGCAGAAGATAAATTCATATTTGTAAAATAAAAACTAAATTCTATGCATTGTTTGTTTTGATGAAAATAAATGGACGTTGATACCTTCGACATTCTGTTTGAGCTTCATCTTCTCTTCTGTAATGTCGTTATCCTCTATCACCTGAAAAAGGATAAAGAATTAAAGCTTAAACCAAAGCAGTGACAGCGTATCGACACTTAGTTATCTCATCAATCAATTAATCAAAGTGTATTGATACAGCTTCATATCACAAGTTTTACATTAGTCTCAGTGGGCTTTACAGTTTATACAGAATATGAATATGATTATAACGACGTCTGTCTTTACGTCTTCACAACGGACAAACTGCCAAAGAAACCCCAAAGTTCATGCGGGAAAAACTGAAGAAACCTCTGGGAGAGCAAGAGAGGAGGATCTCTCTTCCAGTACGGACAGATGTAGAAAAAATAAGACATTCACAACACAGATAGTAGAGCTGCTCGATTATGGCAAAAATCATAATCTCGATTATTTGGGTCAATAATTGTAATTGCGATTATTAAATGCGATTATTCATTGACTTTGAAAACATCCATTTATTGGAGAAAATAAAAGTGAACAGTATGTTTTTAACGGTTGATTACCCTGAACTGTAAGTATAATTCAACTGAAAAATAATAAAAATAAAATGTATTTAAAAAAAAAAAAATAAAATAAAATAAGAATCGTTTTATTTCGATTACGTTGTTTTCGTAATCGTTGCAAGCCATAATCGTAATCGCGATTAAAATACGATTAATTGATCAGCCCTAACAGATAGTCCAAAGAAATCTCCTCTTATCTCCTGTGCTACTCACGTTAGCATCGTTGGAGGTGTAGCGGTCGGCCTGCGTTGCCTGCAGCTGATTGGCCGTCACCCTCAGCTGCTCCTCCAGCTTCTGGATGTCCTGCTGGCTCTCGGCCTGGGCCTTCTGCAGCGCCTGGTAGTCGCTCATCTTCTTCTCCGACAGCTCCAGCCTCTCTCTCAGCTCCTCTGAGTTCCTGTCCTTCTCCATGTGGATCTTCTCCACCTCGGCCAGCCGTCGCTCCGCCCTCTGCAGCTTCTCTCCGGCCTCCTCCAGGGCCTTCCTGCTGCTCTTGGCCTCCACCTCGCTCCTCCAGCTCTGGCTCCCCTTGTCCAGCTGCTCTTTGGCCTCCGTCAGGCGGGTGCAGAAGTCTTCGCGCTCCTTGGTGAGGATGGCTGCTTCGATCTTGTGTTTGGCCTTCAGGTTCTCCACCTCCAGCTGGTGCTCCGTCTTCAGGCTCTCCAGAGAGGCCTGCTCGGGGCCTCCTGCCGCGGGGTGATCCCCGGACAGAGAGGCCTTCAGGTCCTCCAGGGAGCGCTGGTGCTGGACCACCAAGGAGTCAAATTTATCCTTCAGAGGGAAGGAAGGGGAATCATTAGATACGGTGCTCCTCAAGATCTCACAGAGCTGAATCCAGATCAGATGCGCGCTGAAGGCTCTTTGAGCAGGTTTCTCTCAGTGATCGTGCCGTTATGTTAAAAGTTTGTTGTTTGTTCGTCATGTATTGTGTCTTGATATCTGTCCATGTTGATGTTACACAGGGAGCTTCTGTTATGCAAGTCACATTTCAGACTTGACCATTAAAGTATTATCGTATCGTATCTTGGTGTCTTAAAATGATATTTTGGAGGCTTTTTTTTGTTGTTAAAAATGTTTATATTTGTTTTTGATTTCATATCAATTTAACAAATGGTGTTATTTCTCCCTCTCCCTTGCTGCAACAACGTATGAGACTTACTTTAATAGAGCATGGAAAGATCTTCAGCTTCCTAGCTTTCCATTCGTCTAATGTGTTTTATTATTTATTTAACCCTGAAAACCCCATCTTTCTATATGTGTTTATTTGTTTGTAGTTATTGTGCTTTTTATCTTGTTTTTAATTATCGTTTAATTTAATTTAATTAATTAATTAAATTGTTTGATTGTTTAATTTAATTGTTTAATTATTGTTTTATTATTTTACTCCTATTGTGTTATTCTATATTGTATTAGTTCCCTGTACAGCACGTTGATCAACTGAGGTTGTTTAAAATGTGCACTATAAATAAATGAAGATTGAGATTGTCTTCAGGATGAAATCCATTCCCACAGCTCTCTGATAACTCTGTGCGATGAACAGAATACCTTCCAGGTGTCCAACGTATGAGACTTACTGTAATAGAGCACGGTAATGAAAGTCCTAAGCCCTGATGCATTTTTGCTGATCTTCAGTTTTCCCAGCTCTCTATGCGTCTCATATTTTTGCCTTTAACTTTCTTCCTGAATATCCCTTGTCTTCTCCAGAATAAAGTCCTAATCCTGACTGACTGATTGATTCCCACAGCTCTCTGATCAGTGTGCGTTGGACAGATACCTTCCAGGTGTCCATCATCTCCACGTTCTCCCTGTTTGCGTCCTGGACCTTCAGCTTCACCTCGCTCAGCTCCCGGCTCTTGTTCTCCAGCTCGGCCCTCAGCTCAGCGACCTCCTGCCGCCTCTCCTCTAGCTCCGCCTCGTGCTTCTCCCTCAGCTCGCTGCTCTCCTTGCTGTGCTCGCGGCCCGCAGAGGCCAGCTGTACTCGCAGGACGAGGGTCTCGGGCTCGGACCCCGGGGCCTCGTCGCCGTCCTCCTGCTGGGAGTCGGACCCTCGGAGCTTCACCTGCAGGTTCTCCATCTCCGCCCTCCGGAGGCTCAGCTCCTCCTCCAGCTGCACGATGCGACTCTGCTCCTCAACCGTGGTTTGCTGACGAGATAAAAAAACAACGTGGTCACTGTCGCTGAAATTAAATCTGATGGTTGCTTCGAAAGAACGACTAAGAAACACCCTGAAGCTGAACGACGTCATTCCAAAGAACAGAGGTGGGAAGTAACTGAGTACATTTGCTCAAGTACTGGACTTAAATACAATTTTGAGGTACTTTAGGTGAATAACGTCTATTTTCGTTATCAGCTATAATTGTATGCCCTCCAGCTTCTACTAATTGAGTTTGAATGTTTTTTCATTAATTGTTTGTTTTAATATCGTATTAGTAGAATAATGAAAATCAATTTATGCTATTTATACTTCTACTCCACTACATCTAAAAAGGGAGATAATTTATTTGTACTCCACTCTACATTTATTAAGAGCTTTAGCTACTGTTAACAAAATGCATCTCTACAAATTCAACTAGTGGACTAACCTTTTAAGTAAAAAAAAATAGTCAAATTACTTCAATATTTGACAGAAAGTCCGTCAGAGGTAAAATGCTACTTGATGCAACAACATTATCTAGAAATATCACATTACGTATAAAAATGAATATACTGTATAGGGCGGTTGTGGCTCAGTGGATAATGTGCTGGACTACGAATCAGGGGATAGCAAGTTCGAGTCCCACTGCAGTCAGCATGTCGTTGTGTCCCTGAGACAACTTGCTCCTGTGGGGGTTGTCCACAGTGTTGAGTTTGTAAGTTGCTTTGGATAGAAGCGTCTAACAAGTGACATGTACTATACACACACACACAAATTCATTGTTCCTGTATTTTTGCTTAGATAATATTTTTGTATTTTTACTTGAGTAAGGTTAAAAATGCAGGACTTGTAATGAAGTATTTTGACAATAATGTATTAGTACTTTTACTCAAGTATAGCATCTGAATACTTCTTCCACCTCTGCCAAAGAATAAGTGACTCAGCAGAAATCAGGAATAAGGAAATGAAAGGGAAACCCCGAAGATCTTTGTAAAGAGTGGAAACAGTTAAAAGCTTTGGAGACATTCAGCGTGTGGACAGTGACAAAGTGAAACTCCCTGCTGGACGACTTCTTAGACAAAAGATGATACAAAGAATGAATCAGTTTTTATTAATGTCCTACTTAGAGCATGAGATTTTAATATTAATGGGACATCCTTTCTGTTTCGGTATGGATTAAAGAAGTAAGATTTAACGATGACCTTCGGAGGAGCTTTTAGGCGGCCGAGATAGAGATTGTTTCGGACAGGCAGGCAGAAACAAGAATGTAACGGAGGCTACACCCTGACACTTCACATTATCTATCGGTTACTATGAATATACGGCAAGAATCTAAAACTGCGTTAGAGATCAAAGCAAGAACTGCAAAGTCAAATACTGACAAAACACATTTAGGCACTTCGAGTACCATAAGAACCCGGACCCTACTTTTGGGAAAATTAAGGGGAACGTAATTTAGACTAAATAGACCACCTAGAACACATTTCTGACAAGAAACCCCCCCAAGTGTCAAATATCTGAAATGTGACATACAGTTGCAAGAAAAAGTATGTGAACCCTTTGGAACTACCTGTATTTCTGCATAAATTGGTCATAAAATGTGTTCTGATCTTCATCTAAGTCACAACAATAGACAAACACAGTCTGCTTAAGCTAAAACCACACAAACAATTATATGTTTTTATGTCTTTATTGAACACACCATGTAAACATTCACAGTGCAGGGTGGAAAAAGTATGTGATTTAATAACTGGTTGACCCTCCTTTGGCAGCAATAACNTCAGCAGGAGAGGACTCTTTAAAGTAGAGACACTACATACTGATATACACTCAGTATGTAGTGTCTCTACTTTAAAGAGTCCTCTCCTGCTGATGTTCAGGTGTATATCAGTATGTAGTGTCTCTACTTTAAAGAGTCCTCTCCTGCTGATGTTCAGGTGTATATCAGTATGTAGTGTCTCTACTTTAAAGAGTCCTCTCCTGCTGATGTTCAGGTGTATATCAGTATGTAGTGTCTCTACTTTAAAGAGTCCTCTCCTGCTGATGTTCAGGTGTATATCAGTATGTAGTGTCTCTACTTTAAAGAGTCCTCTCCTGCTGATGTTCAGGTGTATATCAGTATGTAGTGTCTCTACTTTAAAGAGTCCTCTCCTGCTGATGTTCAGGTATATATCAGTATGTATTGTCTCTACTTTAAAGAGTCCTCTCCTGCTGATGTTCAGGTGTATATCAGTATGTAGTGTCTCTACTTTAAAGAGTCCTCTCCTGCTGATGTTCAGGTGTATATCAGTATGTAGTGTCTCTACTTTAAAGAGTCCTCTCCTGCTGATGTTCAGGTGTATATCAGTATGTAGTGTCTCTACAATCAGAGCCCAGCCTGCTCTGATTGGTTAGCTGGGTGGCTCTGTTGTGATTGGTCAAACACTAAGAGATGTCCTGCCCCTTAACCTATCACGTATAAGTTGGTTCGCTAACCAATAGTAGCGCGAGTGTTACATCGTGATGTCGCGGAAGTGGAAAAATGTTAAAATGTTAGCTAGGGCTGTGCAAAATAATATTTGTTGCGGGCTTTGAAGCTCAGTGAACTGTCACATTTTCCCGAAACGTATGGTCATTAAGTAATTATTTTGAACTGTACTTTGCTAATATTGTGTAAAAAGTTACAAGGACAAAACATTTCAAAGATTTTTAGCATTTTATTGATACGTCAAGGCAACCAAATATGCTAATAGCATATTTTAAAGACACATTGAAAGCCCCAACAAATTATTGAGTAAACAAAACAATATTAATAGACTATAGCCTATGCTAACAGCGCCACACACAAACACACGCTATTCATCGGAGAAAGTATGATGAATAATGTGGAATAACTAGTGCCTAATTCATGGGCTATTTGGACATTGTTTGGTTAATGCGTAAGTAATCATTTCTGAAAAGTCAAAACAATTATGGATTTGAATAGTGATCTGCCTTACAACAACAATTTCAGCAACATAGGAATGTTTTCGCAGAGTATTTCTTTTTAGAAAGCGGAAATTATGCTCTCGGTGGGTGATTTGCATAAACATATAAATCATCTGAATAAGGGCATTAAAGCAGCTAACCCCTCTGGGTAACATGTGGTGCCCTGGTCACAGAGAAGAATAACCAGTGTATGTTTTCCACTGATATTAGTATGCGAGTAAACAGCCAAATATGTTTGAATATGGAAATGTACAGAGGTGAGGCCGCCTCCACAATCCCCACTGACCGAACCGGCTGATATATAATTCACATCCTGGGTCTGGAGCTTTAAAATGATAATGACCTCTGAGCAGATGTACCACTCATATGATCTTTGACAGCAGACATTCTCTTTATTTGTTCTTTAGAGAGTTCGTAGCAATAACTGGCACAACCAGAATTCCTTTATTTCTCCCACAACGGGGAAATGTACATTATTACCACAGCAGAAGTATTGTGCAGATAAAGTGAAGAAAATAGACTTGCATATTGTGGGTGGTAAATAAATTGAGAGAAACAAGAAAGCAAAAGGGTATTGTGTGTGTGTGTGTGTGTGTGTGTGTGTGTGTGTGTGTGTGTGTGTGACCTGCCGTATCTCTGTTATAGAACGAACACACACTCAAGCTTGCCCTTTTGTTTTGTTTCTCATATGTTTTGTTTCTCTGTGTTTCCAGGAGTCTGAATGAACTGCGGGTGTTACTCCTGGAGTCTCATCGCCACTCGCGGGACATGGAGAAAGATATGACCCGGGAAGTGCACAAGGCCGAGTGGAAGGTGAAGGAGCAGAAACTTCAGGAGGACATCAAGACCCTGCGTGAGAAACTGCTTCTGCTGGTGAGGAAGTGTGATGAACGCTGGGATTACTTTTGATTTCTCCTATTCTAGTAATGTTGCTAAATCCCCAGCTAGGATCATGATACAGTACACACACAAAATAGTTGCGCGTTCTACTCTAGAAATCTATTATAACTTACCAAGGTGAGTCAGCAGATCATAGATGAATTGGGTGAGGAATAGGGGAGTCTTACTGGACACAATCCACATTCTGCTGCTAAGCTAAGCTAAGCTATCCTCCTGGTTCCAGCTTCATATTGAACGGATAAAGAGATATATATCAAACTTTTCAAGTGAATTTTGCAAAATGTCAAAATGTTTCTTTACATTTTTTTAACCATCATGAAGTTAGAGTTGCATAAAAAAGAGGAGCCTCACCCTGGCCTCAATGCCTGTCATGATATACAAAATACTCTAGCAACTTAATTAAAGATGGGAAAATCATTACTTTTTAAATGCATAGTGAAAGTCAACGCAACAGATGCTAAGATTGTATGGGTAAAAATCCCCAAAATGCTTGGTCCTGCATTTCCCAAAAAGCAACTTGATGGCATCGTTATGTCATACCGTGCCAAATAAACTCTCAACTCTTTAATTTTCCTCTTATAAGGGAACACAGACCATTGCTACATATATGCTAAAATATATTGCCAAAAACATTTGTATAATGTTAAATATTTACCACCAATACACATACAGTACATTCTATCACTGTTTTCTTGACAATGACTTAGCCTCCCAATACATCATTTGTGATTTTTAAACCTTATTCATGTTTCATTTTTGTACCTGGAATGGGGTTTCTCCAGATTACAGAGTAGAGCAGAATGCGGTTTCCACAGACGGCTGAAAGCAAGGCAGCTGTTGGTTAATGTAATCACTGCCTAATCAGTGGCAGCTGAGTTGATCCCTGAGAGGAAGTTAATATGTTGAAATATGAAAATCTGGGTAGCTTGTGGTAGGTGATTGAGGTGAGATTATTGTCACCCATGTATGTTATATGCGCAGTAACTAGTCCGCACACATTTGAGTACGCATGCGGGCGTATGTTGCATGTATGTTATTTCAAGCTTTCAAGGCTTTTATTGTCATGTGTGCATACTGTAGCTACAGTGTAGTTATGACAATGAACATATTAGGTCACAGGCTCCTCCAACAGTGCAACAGTAAATCAAATCAAACAGAATATAATAGAAACTGTTTAAAAAAATGAAAACAATAAGAGTATTTAAAAAATAAAATTAAAAAATAAATATGAAAATCTACTCTTTACCATTTTTTTACCAACATACTGACTCACTCCCGCTCTCTGTGTTTCAGGGTCGGGAGCGGTCCTCCCCGGACCACCGGCGGCACTCCATGCTGGACCCCTCGATGCTGGACTCGGAGATGAGCCGGCTCCGGCAGCGGCTGCTCGGCACAGAGGACGCCCTGCGGGGAGCCATGGAGCACAACCAGCAGGTGGACCAGCTGGTGCTGGCCATGCGCAGACACCCCGAGAAAAGCCCGGTAACACCTCAACTTCACTTAACAATAATAATAATAATAATACATGTTATTGGTAAAGCACCTTTCATTCCTAAAAGTAATCCCAAAGTGCTACAAGGGGCGTAATAGAAAAAAGAAACACAAGTTTAATCAAAGGCTTTTTTAAAACATGTTCAAAGTTTGGAGGTGAGGCAGCTTGGGAAGAAGTCTTTAAAGATTCAAAGGCAATGTTGGCAATGAAAATCTTAAGTCCCTGGCTCTCAAACTGTGTAGATATAGACATACATGATACTTGAAAGTCACGTCCTTAAAAGAAAAGCGATATACTTAATCTACGTACATGTAAAATAGAATATGGAATCATTTGACTCTGCTATCATTTTCAACGTATGGAATAAATGAACGTTAGCTTAGTTTATCACAAAGACTGAAAACGGGAAAACAGCTAGCCTCGCTCTGACTAAACTAAAAATATCAAATTACTCATGCTCCTCTCAAAAGCTTATCCTGCCTCACCCATACAATCTCCACATCTGAGCTCAGCGAGAGCCAAACATGGGTTGAAATAGTCCTTTGTGTTAATGTAACTCACAACACAAAGACAATCAGGTTCAGAATTGGCTTTAACTTTTTAACTATTTTCTTCGTTACCCCCCCCTTACTTTGGTGTTCGCTGTCAAATTTGACCGGTCCTGTTTTAACTGCTATTACATGAAAACCATCAATCATCACCACATTTCATTTAACACCCTTTCAAACTGTACATATTGTATCAGACTACTGGGATACATGAAACACTGCATAAATATACAAAGAACAGACACTGTGTGTGTGTGTGTGTGTGTGTGTGTGTGTGTGTGTGTGTGTGTGTGTGTGTGTGTGTGTGTGTGTGTGTGTGTGTGTGTGTGTGTGTGTGTGTGTGTGTGTGTGTGTGTGTGTGTGTGTGTGTGTGTGTGTGTGTGTGTGTGTGTGTGTGTGTGTGTGTGTGTGTGTGTGTGTGTGTGTGTGTGTGTGTGTGTGTGTGTGTGTGTGTGTGTGTGTGTGTGTGTGTGTGTGTCAGACAACAGGAGGGTTAATCATCAATTGTTTCTGTGTTTTTCAGGTGCATGGTGTAAACTCAGCCAATGGGATTCATCATCAGGAGTCCGGCAGTACTCGAGATGTTAGTACTATTTCATTACACTTAAAACCATGATATGATTGTGGCAATATTACAACATCTGTCAGTGCTAAGACATGTTGTTTCCTTTCTTTTCAGGAGCAACACTGATATGAGCAGAAGAGATCAGATTGAACTGGGACATCTTAAAGAAAAAGCTGGTCCGACGTTTCCTCCTGACATTACATTACATTACATATTACTTGTTAGACTCTTTTATCCAAAGCGACTCACATACTCAATACTGTGGGCAATCCCCACAGGAGCAATTTGGGGTGAAGTGTCTCAGGGACACAACGACATGCTGACTGCAGTGGGGTTTGAACCTGTGACCATCTGATCCCCACCCCATGCTCTATCCACTGCGCCACACGCCTCCCCGACCCTTCGATGGACGCCTGAAGAAAATTTCAGTTTACACTCCAAACCAAAACAGCGAATCTCCATCTCCAGTGATTTTATGTGTTGTTGCAGAAAGCACCTATTAGCCAATCATGAAGACCGCTTAAAGTACTATAAAATATAAACAGGTAATGGGACATGAAGAGATATTATCGGTACGAACTCTGTGACAATTCCTAATTTTGAACCGGAAGGCAAAACGGCTGATGGACAATGACGTGAAGATCTGTTTGTTTTATTTATTGCTTTCACTTTGATTTCATCCTGTATGAGTAAGCTGTTTTGTCCAGTGGTACTCAGAGCAATGGCTGACTTTTATTTTAGGGAGTTTGGCTCATTTGTCACTTTACTTCATATCTAATGAGAAGTGTTAGAAACCTCATTACGGTCAGCTCTGTCCGGTGTTCACGCTGCCGCTTTAGTGTACAATATGATCAATAACTGTGGAATTAAAAAGGATTGTTCAAGTAATACTCCACCCCCAAATCTGTCTTTTATTGATAAAACACAAACACTGTTTAACCCTTCTTCGATAGTAATCAGGGCTCATTTATTTATAATGGATATCAATGTCGGACGGTTTTTTGTTTGGATTTTTACAGTACACAAAACCTTATAACCCACTTCCTGAAACATAATCCACTTCTCCTTCACTCACCAGGGTACAGCAAATACTCTGCTTCTGTTTCAGTCATCACAAACCATTTGATACTGAAAATTCAACTCACGTGTTTCTTAATATGTTTGTTATAAGCAGGATATAGTTTGAGTTTGGCGTCTAGGCTCGGGCCTCATCACTCCACAGATTTACAAAGAACATTGAGTGATGATTCGATAACTATCCCCCGAGCCTACAGGTGGAAACTGGGGTGGAAGCTGGGGTGGTGGGGGGTCAGGCGAGCAGCAGCAACATGAAACACAGCAGCAGGAACATGAACGTAGCAGTAGCAAGTGAACACAGCAGTGGCAGCATAGCGAGGCGGAGGCAGGAAGACCTGGCAGCTTCAATAGAGCGGCATGTTTAGGAGAATGTGTTTGGTTGGTTGTAAGAGGGACGAGGCGCGTCACGTGTTAATGTATCATTGGTGCTCGAGTTGACTGCCTGAACTAGCTCGCAGGCTTCACCCCATTACTGCTGCAGGGTGGTTGCTGTTGTTCATTCATAAAGTCTGGAGGGCT